TTTCCTTACAAGAAAACCTAGCAATAATTATGTACCTGGTAGACTGAAACTGCCACCTATGATGCTGATGAAGACTTTCTGGCACTCCATCACCTGTGCCAGAGTGTTTTTTCCCCTCAGAAACTTAACTGCACGCTCTTTGGAGCAGGGATAGTCTGTATTGTTAGCTGTTCTTCACAGCGGGATCCAGTGCAGTCCATGAATATTTGTAAGAAACCAGTAAGATTGCTTATGTATCAACCACAAAATGTATCTCCACACTTTACAGATGATGATGATAGTGAGTTAGGGACAATGTACCTTCAGATCCCAGTTCTTAAAATGATAAGATCTCCCAGTCTGAGCTGGTAAAACATAAATCAATTAATTCTGGTTTGCAGATACATGTCATGTAGTTCTTCCTGAAAGCATGACAAGGAATGGGTCTTTTTATGATGTTCAACCTGTGGCACCCACCTCTTACAAACACCACAGCAAAAAGAGGCAAAAACCACGTTGATGTAACTCAGACAGAAAAGAAATCCAGCTGACAATGAAACTATTCACACTACGTTAGACTTGCAGCAGATTGCCAGTTAAATCTTTCCACTGTTGCTGCATGGACTTGGGTCTGAAGGGCAGTTTAATAAAAGAAATAGCCTCTCCAAAGTGGTATAAATTCAATTTCAGGCCTGTCAGCCTCAGTGTTCTAGTAAAAACCAAAATCTGTTGAGATAATGTTTCAAACCTTAAGAAATTAAATGTTTTATTTTGATAGAACTGCACTGAATTACATGATTGGAAGAGTTGCCTGTACATTGAGGATATTCTGGAGTTACGCTGTGATTAGATCTGCGGCTTTCATTCACCTGCTACAAGGTACTCCTGTACGTCAAACACTATCAGCTGAAAGCGATAACGTCTCTTGTTCTGCAGGTTTCTTATCAACAGTCTGCATTTGCCCACCGGCTTTGAAATGGTTTCATCACACATTTCAAGCACATGAATGCATTTCTCCAGACTAATGTTGCTGTTTATCAGCGTTGCTTGGCTTACAGGGCAGCTGACTCTACAATCTAGCTGGAATCAAATTAGCCGTTGATGATATGGTTGTAAATAAGCTGAGCAACTGAATAGCTGCGTGCAGCTCGATTTGCTGGAAAGTCTTAACACAAGATCTTCCTGAAACTTTTCAGAGTAGTTTTTATATCAATGAACCTTAAATAACTTCAGCTATGTATGTGCTTTTGAGAGCACAGACACAAGTTCATAGAAGCGGGAGGCTTCACTAGCTCCATGCAAATGTCTATGGGGAAAACCAGTCATGAACCAGTCCTCTGCAGTAATGAGATGGTCTCCTTTGGATACAAGCCACACTGAGCTGGCAGAGACATAGTGAGCCTCAGGCCCCAAGCTAACACGACAGCGCAGATGTAGCCTAGAGGTTAGCGTCCCTAATCGCCTTTGACTGTCAATAGCGACAGGCCTCTTCCTTCCCCAAGGAGCCTCTCCCTTCTCACCAACCAATTTGGCCATCTAGTTTTGTACCAACCATCAGCTGGTACAATGGTACAATACTCTGCTATGGCCTCAATCACTGCATGTACTCTGGGTTGGGTTTGGAGGTTTTGAAGAAGGGTGATGCCTTTTGAAAAGTCAAAAATATTGGACAAAAAGTAAGCCCTATTTTCAGAATTGTAAACTCAGCATTTTTCTTCCCATCCTTCATCTGGCTTGCCATGATTTCTGCACCAAACCCTTAGCTTCCTTTGTGCTTACAATGTAGAGTTCAGGTGGTGAATCTATGAATAGACCTCTCAACAGTCTCTCCTGTCAGCTGCAGACCCCACACCACAAATGATTTCACCTTTAATTAGCAAACCATTAAAGTCTCCAGAATTACAGTACTGTTGCCAATATTCTCAGCTTCAAACCACTAAGTACCTTCTCTTCTGCTTTTTAGCACAACAGGGCAAAAAAATGCATCTCTCACCAATCTCATCCTGTCTGCGGTCCGAGTGCTCATCAAACACCTGGAGTGGTTATAGTTACATTCCTGGAATTGTTATTCTTACTCACTCTTTTCTTTATCTTTATTTTCAGTGATAGAACAGGAAGCTTACCTTCATTTTCTGCTTTCCCTTTTAGTCAGCTGTATGAACAGGTTATTTTGGCTTCCCTTTTCTCTGTCTCTTTTTTATTAGGATTCCCAGTATGCTGTACCTCTACTGTTTGATTTTTTTTTTTTTAAACCCTTAAAACACATTAATATTCCTTTTGCTGTTGATTTCAGTAGATGAATGCTTCATGTACTGCCACTGTTTCACGTACTGTATCCTTGCCAATAGCAGCAGCCCAAATTCAGCAAAATTCCAAAATTATAAACTGTTGAAAACTGGGTTCTTGCAACATGAACTTCTGGATAATCTAAAACCAAAGAAGCCCATGGTGCCAAAATTGACATACAGCCCCAAACACAGATTAAAACCACCCAGCTCAGCCCAGCTAAATTCAACTAAATGTTAAATGACCAATGTGTCTACAATGTGTACGTAACACAAATGAATTTAAGATTCTCCAAATCAATGTATAATGTGAGAAAAAAATGTGGAAAATTAGTTAAAATAATCTGGTTTTCTTTTCTCCAAAATATTTGTCAAGAAACTTGTATATTTGCAAAGGGATCCCTGTGCATTCCCAGCCCAATTCTTGACCTGTTCGAACCATGGCAGGACATGCTACATCCTATGATACTATATGACCTTTCACAAAGCTCCCCTCTAGTTTATATGCACCTTGACATACCAGCTATAGTAGAAAACACTGTACGTGTGGGTTTACTTACAGTTATGACAGGTAGCTCCCATGTAGCCTGTATCATTACAATCACAGTAAAAGGTGGTCCAGGACTGAGAGCATTTTCCTCCATGTTCACAGTAGTTGGGTAAACATCTAATTGGAGACAGTTTTAAAAAAATGCAATTAATTATAAACATTTCTGTAAAAATAATGTTCTGTAAAAAATAATTATAAAACTGTCTCAACTCCTCAGTCAGGCAAGAGTTTCCTAGGGCTGAATCCCTCTATAATACCTGAAATAATTACTTATTCCTCTGATCTGTGATTCACTTCAAATACAAGCACTGAAGACAACATTTAATGTATCCAGCAAGTAGGTAAAGATCACTCTCAATAAAAACATTCCACTTGTCCTCCACTTGTTAGCAATTAAAGTGTCATAAACTTTCCCAGCACAGAAAAGGACAAGTAACAAGTGTAAATGCTATTGAAATCTTGTTTCAAAGGATAATCCCCTGTCCTCTGATCAAAAAGGCATCATTATCAAAATTAGGCTGAGTTACATTTGTGGTAACACAAACAGCATGAAAATCTCAGAAGTGAGAGGAAAAATATGCTTCAGTTATGAGTTTTTTCCCTCATTTTAGTTGGCATGCCTCTAAAGTATTATTGTGAAGGAAATTATTAAAAGAAGAAAGAGGCACAACAGCACGCAGCTTGGGAAGTGAACAGAAACAAAAGCTGAGGGAGATAAACTTGATCTCCAGGACAAGAAGCGAATGCTGATCTGAACTACACTGGTGTAAACACAAGCAGTCCAATGGAGTTACACCAGCCTAAATGGAAACAGAGATTGTTCTATTCTTTACCTTTTCTTTCTTTTTCCTCTTACTGGATATTAGATAATCTCTTTTACGCTGTATGTTTGACTTTTGAAAAATAAAGTAACTTGTTTATACCACTGATTCAATTGTGATGGGTGGGTGGATAGAACACAGGCAATCAATTTCTCTCTTACACACCAGCACTCCATTAGGGTTTGCTTTGCTGTAAATTGAGCTTCAAAACCCTTTTTATGGCCCAGATCTTTCAGTAGTGTTAGTGGTGAAGTCATTGATGCTACCTAGAGTTGTACTAGCTGAAGACATGATTTTATTGTAGTTCATCTCATGCTTAGGAATTTTTGCATTTAAGTGTGCATATTGCCTTTAACTATAGCTTTCAGTCTGTTTCTTCTAGAATCTTTACAATTAAAACACATTTCATGCGTGCAAGCAGAAAACCTGTATATCACTAACGGCCATCGTCTTCGCCAGCCTCCCAAGCCCCACAAGTCAAGCATTCATTAACTTACTTGAGTCCAAGGCTGTTTAGAGCTGCCAAACATTGCAACCCAAAGAAACCTGTTTATGCACATAGAGGCCTATCAGACTAACCTCTCATCCTCAATATGCTGTATGCAAGTATGTGCATACATATATATACTCGTCTGTATAAGTGTGAGTCGAGATTTGTTCTAGAACTCAGGTTTATTTGATCACTATTTATACCATCGTACATAAAATTATAAAGATCATGCAAAAATATTAATATGAAAGATTAATTCATTTTTATTGATGCTTACCCAATTATTACAGTAATTATTTATTATTCATATACTAAAGACATAAGAAATTCAAGAAGACAGTATGTTATTTATAACTATCTGTAACATCTTTTAAAACAATTATAAGATATATTGGTCTTATAAAAATCATTGTTATGGCTCCTATTAGTCATTGGGCTCAAATACAAAATGAGGAAAGAGAATGGGAAACGCTTGCCTGGTTTTCCAGCTCACCAGGAAGGTTTTTTTCAGTGCTGTGGAGAACACCTTGTTTCTAAAACAAGAAACAAACAAAAGGGATGGCCAAAACTGTTGGGTTTGCCCCGTCCTTACAAGGCAGGAAGTCTGAGAAGAGATAAGATTTTGGCTTTTAATGGTGTGCTGGGAAATCATCTAACAGAGCCTAACACGCTGCTGGTACAGTGACAGCCCAGTCAGCCCCTCTGCCATCACATCTACTCTTGGCAACGGTGAAGACGGATTTAGAGGCTTTGGGTCAATGCTGAAGAAAGCAAAAGCAGCCTACAGGATGGCACAAACAGGACTGGCTGGAGCATGATCTGCACCCAGCTCCACTCTGCAGGACCGTGCGAGCAACCTCGAACCAGTAGCTCCGTCCCAGAGGCTACAGGAGAAGCACAGTGCTTCAACAGTTCTGTGGTGATATATATGAATTTTGCCTGTAACAGCAGATTTATTCTTATTGGTGCTTTGGTCATGCCTGCCCTTGCATATTGCCTTTACTTCTACCTGCTATTTGGTGATAAAAATTCATTTATGTCATCTGTACGACAGCAGTAGTTATATTCACATCACAGGGGTGCTGGTGACAAGAAACTTCTAATGTTAATAAAGTTCTTTGGAGAGATAAAAAGAACAGTACTGGGTTATCATAATTTACATCAAGAGTGTAATGGACAAATATGCTTTCTGCCTATTTTAAGTTACCTTTTATTAATTAATCCAATGCAGTAGAGCTAATTACTAGTCATTTGTGGTTTGCCAAAGGCCCATATCAGAGGCTTAGCCACATTTATTCCCTTAAAACAGTTTCCTTTTAAAGGCTTTACAAAGTTGAAGGTCCTTCTCATTTCTGCTTGTCTTACAAATGCAGACACTTTTTCTTCCCCCAACAATGCACAAAACACGAGTCAAACTAGCCATGTAAGCTTTTAATGATATTCACAAATTCAGAGCTAAACCTTTTTTATTCTTTAATTAACACTGCATCAATCTTATTTCTGGTCAGATAACTAGCCCATCTAAGAGCTTGTGAAATAGATTTCTTTGCAACCCTAATAATTACCATAATCCCATTCTAGCTGAGCAGTTGTGTCTTCATTAGAAGCAAGATTTATCCTAATTGTCAGAGAACTCAAAATTAAGAAATAGCTATGATTAAAATTAATCAAGGCATGGATAAATCACAGGTTGTTCCTTTTCCTAACTGTCCTGGATCCTCATGTTGAAGGATTTAAATACATATGATTTAAAATATAAATTAATATTTTCATTCTAGTAGAAACAAGCAATTTTAGCAAAAAATGCAGTCGTATCACAGATGGTTTCATAGACAAAAACTTGCAGCAGGCAGCCCCTGACCTATTTGCAATTGAAACGAACAAACAGATCACTCAATTTTTGCAAGTATCATAAATGGGACGCTTTGAAATTTAATGATTTGCCTAAGACAGTTTGTGAGAGACCAGGGACTCTTATCTTCCAGATTCCAGATTAATTCATAGAATATATCACGGAGAATGAATCTTATAAAAAAAAATAAATGAAGCAAATAAAATTTTCCCTCCTTCCGCCAAGCTGGAAAACACACACTTTAGCCATCTAAGTGAGCAATATGCAGAGCCTGCACAAAAGCACTGTCCTTAGATGAAACATTCACCTCCAAAACTGTATGTGTGTTTCCTTTGAATTCAAAGGACAAACTGCATAGACATTAGAGGGCAAAATTTGGCCCTTTGATAGGAATGATGAAGACATAACAATGACAAAATTACTTGAGTGGGAAGGCTGAAGGAGTTCTGCACATCTGATGTTACACTTGACTGGAAATAAACCTGGTACCTTCAATAAGTACCTCTCAGATTTTGTTATAGTCAGCACAACACATCCTGCCTGCACCACTCTCTATTCTTCCTAAATAAAGAGGAAAAAAAAGATAACTATCAGAGAGAGAAAGAAAAAAGGAGCATTGCACCCTCAATATTAAGACTGTCAATATGCATCATTTTGAGACAACCAATAAGTCCCTAAAACTCAACAATGCCATAACAAGAAAACACATGAAATTTATAAGTTTTTCTATTAAGAAAGCATTTGCCTAAATATTATCTTAAATTCATTTTATTACAGCACATTTTCCTATTTATGGGCTGCAGCTATTTCATGTATAATTAACAAAATATAACAGTACCAGGGATGACTTCATGTAGTAGGTATGCACGTATGATGAAACTCATGGTGTTTCTGTAACAGCCTATGCTTTGGTAAAATGGTGTCTTTCCACTAAACTCAATAGATTGAGGCCAATTGCAACAGCATGGGTTTTTGCCCTGCTCTGCTGAGCCGTAAATCTGTGAAATTCCTTGCCAAAGGTTATTTTGGATACAAGAAATGGGTTCAAGGGGAGACCAGACAAGCGCTTTCAAAGAGAAATCCACCAAGGTTACTACATAGACAACATGTAACAACTTCAGGGATTTACCAAGGGGAAAACAAATGAAGATCAGAGAGCATTAGAAAAGAAACTACCACAGGAGCACATCCCACTTATTTTCCCTTGGATGTCCATTTGTGGCAAAATAGTGGGCTAGGTCTCCTTAACTAAAGGGAGAAAAGTGAACTACCAGAACCAGAGAGAGGAAGGGAGAAAGAGTGAGTAAAAACAATATTAAGACAGGCCACAAAAGAATTAACACTCTCCAGATCTTTGGTTTTCCTCATCACCACACATCCCAACTTCTCTTTCCCCTTGCAACTTTAGAAAACTGAACAACAACTTTTAAAAAAATGTTATGGCATACTTTAGTTTTTTCTTT